GTCCTCTCTAATGTCATGATCTCTCTTGGTATCCCTATGAAAGACTGAAGATTTAAAAATTATCTGTGCTCCACTAACTGTAGTAGTCTTTGAATAAAAATTGTCAATATATATTCACAATATTTTTTTCAAATCAGGATGGGTTATTTAACTTCAAGCACATTTCCATAAGTCATAGAAATTTAAGCAAATACTCTATCCTGAATCTCCAAGTACTGAGGTGTGTGTTTCATAATGATTTCTATTAAGCAAACCAAGGTAATTTTGTAAACCATAAAATATGTCTATACTTTCTAAGGATATTCCAAGTACTCATTAGTTTTCTTCCAAATTTAGACTATTCTTACTGGGTACATTTTAACAATATATATGATTAAACTAGCAATAACTAAACTATGCAATGATTAATACCACTTTTAATTCTGAAAATTCCCTCATCATGAAACTAGTATTAACTAATTTATACCTCCCTCAAAAAAGTCCTTAAAATATACCAAAAGAAAACATGAGTTAAATTTTGGATGGTTATCATACTCCAAGTGAAATAATTCCATTTGATAGAATATAACTTACTTTCAACCTGGCTTGTTAATTCTGTTTTCTGAGATTAGCATTATGGGATGGTGATATTATATATATAAAGTTAATTAAATAGGCAGGAAGAGAAGTTTATTTCAGTTGCTGTCCATGCATGGTGGGGACGATGGCTGAAGGGGCAGCCAATGTCCCTCCTGGGTTTAAGTAGGGCAGGGGCGGAGAGAAGATGCAGCCAGATGTGGGAAAGGTGTGGGTGGCCATACTAGATGCTGATGTGGCCTCAGAGCCTGGGATCCTCCCAAAGTCCTATGGGAGGCTTGAGGTGGGGGTGGGAGGTCCAGGATATGACCTCACAGCAAGGGAGGTAATTGCCTCCAGGTGTGGCGGTTACCTAGGCAACCGAGGTACTGGGGGAAACTTAACCAAGAGGAAGAGGGGAAGCTATCTGCATGGGGCCTGCACTTCCAGAGTGGACCTTACAATATGCATTTTGGTTGTTTCAAAGTACAATCATCCTTTTAAATCAGAAATACTAATAAATCTCATTCTCAAATTATATGCTGCTTCTAGGAAAGCCCTATAACTCCTTTTATTCTATTTTTTTTTAAGGAAAATTCCACCTGGGCCTTAGCTAAATAACTACTACAATACTACTATATTATACTTTATTGACCTGATCTTTAGTTTACACTTGATAGTTCAATATCTTCATCCTAACAGAAGGTCCCCAATCGCACAGTTGAGATTTCAACACGGAAACTTCAGTTCCTACAAAGGAAATAGACATAAAAACCTCTACAGACTATTCTACCAAATAGCTGTAAAATATACATTCTTCTTGGTAGCCCATACAAAGTAGATATTGGATATAAAGCAAGCTTTAACAAATATTAATATATAGAATAATATGTATATTACCAGCCAACAAATAAAACTAGAAAAAAATCACAGCTAATATTCAAAAAACATGAATCTAGGAAAATGCTTGATAAGTTTCCAATGAAATAAGGCATTTCTATAATCAAATGAAAATGAAAACCTAATGTACCAGAAGTTTTGAAGTGTAGCAAAGGCAGTAATATAAGCATGGTTATATTTATGAACACATACTAATCACAGAGATCCAAATCAATAAGCCAAAGATGTACCTTGAGCTCTTATTAGAACAAGCCAAAGCCTAACTTCATATGCAAAAAAATAGTAAAGTTCAGAGAATAACTCAATGGAGCCGAGACTATAAAAAAAAAACAAAGAATCTAACTTGGTTCGTTAAAAAAATAAATAAGATTGATAAATATTTAGCCACACTAAGCAAAAAAAGGAGGGAAAAGTTAATTAGAGGTAGAAAGGAGGATTTTAGAACAAATACCAATGAAATTCCGAGTATCATTTGCCACTACTTTGAAAACTTACATTTGAAAAAACTGAAAAGTCTAGATGAATAAATTTCTAGACACATATGACTGACCTAAATTGACTTGAGAGGATATAAACTACTTACAATTATAAAGAGGTACGAGACTGCAGCAATAACAATGAGTTTCCCTACAAACAGAAGTCTATTAATTCATAGCTTTTCTGTCAAAATCTACAAGATCTCTAAAAGAAGACATAAGATCAACACTCTCAAACTAGTCCACATAAATAGAAAAGGAAGGAATTCTACCAAACTTACTGTATAAACCAAGTAAGGACACTACAATGAGAGAAAATTATACACCAGTTTTCTTGATGAATATCATTGCAAAAAATTCTCAAATTAATACAACAACATATAAACAAGATCACACACCATGATTTAATTGGTTTCATTCTAGGGATAAAATGATGGTTCCACATTCACAACTATAAACAGAAGAAAAAAAGAACAAAAATCAAATGATCTTCTCAGTAGAGGCAAAATAAAATCCTTGGACAAAATATAACATACCTTTATAATAAAGCCTCTGAAGAAAATGGGAATGAAAGAAATATATTTCAGTAAAATAAAGGTGATACATGACAAAATGATCATTATATAATATACATGCACACAATGGGATAATCATCTATAAAGAAGAATGAAATGTCATTTGCAAAAATAAATGGATAGAATTGGAAATCACCATATTAAATAAGATGAGCAAAGTTCAGAAAGGAAAATATCACATTTTCACTCATCTGCAGAACCTACACATAATATATATACATATATATGTGTGTGTGTACATATATAACATGATTACAAAAATGCTCTGGAGGAGCAATCAGAGGATGAAAAGAGCCGGAAAGGAGAAAGTAACACAGTGAAACTTTTGAAAAACTGTTCAAAAGATGGGGGAAAGAGCCAGTGATTTAAAAATTAACACCGGTGAAATTGAATGAAGTACATTGTAAGCAAGTTGGTAATAGCACAATGAAAACATTTTGTACAATTATTTTTAGTGGAAATAATATCCCATAACTATTTTTAGTATTTATAATGCTGAAGTTTTACTGGGTTCCTTAGGATTTACTGCTCTTTGCATATTTTAAACTTTCTTGATTTTTCTTCTGCTGGTCCTGGGGCTTGAACTCAGGACCTGGACTTTGTCCCCGAGGTTAGTGCTCTACCACTTGAGCCACAGCACCACTTCCAGTTTTTTTCTGAGTAGTTTATCAGAGATAAGAGTCTTAGGGCTGGGAAGGTGGCTCAGTGGTAGAGCGCTTGCCTTGCATGCCTGAGGCCCTGGGTTCGATTCCTCAGCACCACATAAGCAAAAAGAAAAAAGCCGGAAGTGGTGCTGTGGCTCAAGTGGTAGAGCGCTAGCCTTGAGCTGAAGAGCTGAGGGACAGCGCCCAGGCACAGAGTTCAGGCCCCACGACCGGACCCCCCCCCCCAAAAAAAAAGAGTCTTACAGACTTTCCTACTGGGGTGGCTTTGAACTGTGATCCTCAGATCTTATCCTCCTGAGTAGCTACAATTATACATGTGGTGCCACCGGTGCCCAGCTCCTTTCCTGGTATTTTAAGCAAATTTTATTAGAAGTATCTATGCTAATACTCATTAGACAAAAATGTCTGTTGTATGTTTACATTCTATGTTTGATGTAAGCGCTCAAAAAATGTAATTTAATAATTTTATGATGCAGATTTGTCAAATTTATCTACTTTTTTATTTATTTTAGAGATAGCTAAAGTTTTGATCATGAGATATTTATTTATTCCTAATCCTGGAGATTTTAAACACGGGTTCAGGTAATTCTCTAATCCTTTTTTTCCCTTAATAAGAATGCCATTTAATACTTTTTCTTGTCTTAAGAAACTGTGTTCTCTATTGAGTCTCTGCAACTTTCAATCTTCTTGCAATCTGCCTTTTAAAAAAAGAATGCTGTCTCCAAACACTGGTGGCTGATGCCTATAAATCCTAGCTATTCAGGAGGCTGAAATCTGAAAATCATGGTTTGAAGTCAGCCCAGGCAGAAAAGTCCACTAGATTCTAATATCCAACTAACCACCAAAAAGGCAGAAGTGAAGCTATGACTCAAATGGTAGCAGTCCAGTCTTAAGCAAAATAGCTGAGGGACAGTACCCAGGCCCCAAGTTCAAGTTCCAGGACCTGAGCATATGCACGCAAATTCACACACACCCACATACCCACACCCCCACACCCACATGCGTATGTGCACATGCAAACACTGGCATGGTAGAGGCAACAAATAACAAGTAACAGCAGTGCTGAATAACATCAGTGGGTACATGTACTATATTCCTACTGAATCCAAGAATTCATCCAACCCATGTCCTCAGCTACTCCATAGGGCATATGGTATTTCCATATTGCATTAGATAACCAGTTTCTGAATGATTAGTCACCTTGCTTCAACTCATTCAGAAAGTATAGGTAAAACTGGAAATTGAGTCTGGTTGTATGTGACCCCAATTTTATGCTTAGATACTACACTAGATAACTATAAATGATCTCTCCCTTTTAGTTTAATTCAGCCAAAGAGGTAGAATGGACAAGAAATGGCTGAGGCGTATTCTATGCTCTAGATGAAGAAAAAAGCAACTTTGGGGGATTCATTTTTTTTAATCATCTACCTTTTGCCAAATATGGTATGATGTATGTTCTGTCCTTTTTCTAGCAATTGCCCTCTGGTTATGGAGGTCTATATTCCACAGAGGTCAGTACAAGAGCCAAGAATCAAACTCTAGTCTGAATGGTTTCAATCTAATGTCTTTCTAGAGTCTTATAATCCCTGATGACAAATTGAAGGTAGCAAGTGGAATGAAATCTCCTTCTGCAATAGGATAAATGCAGTGCATAGATCATTAAACACCGCTGCCTCAGATATTTCCAGTTGGCGCTTCTTATTGCAATGTCATAGAATCAAGTAATCCTTCCATGGAATGTATTTTAATGCCATGAAATCAAGAAAATCTGTAAGTTAAGACATATAATTATAATATTATAGCATAATGATAATTTGACCAAAACCTACCTGCAGAAACCTTGGGAGTAGATGGTCTGATTCAATGCCAACATATATGTGCAGCAACTCCAAGACAGAAATGGATTGGCAAATTCTCATGACAAGTCCAATAGCATAAAAAGTGTCAACCATTGAATCTATGAACATAGATGTAAAAAGTGAAAGCTAGATCACATCACAAATCTAGGCAATTACTAAATTATTAAGAATGCAACAGAATGTACAAAAGCATTTTCTACTGTAGTACAATTTAATTGGTTTTCTTCCAAAAGGAAGTAAAAATTTACATAGGTTTTGCAGCCTAAATGTATTTAAGTATGTATTCCCAATATATAGTATTATAATGCATTTCTCATATTAAAGCAATCAGGCAGAATGTAAACCATTTGAAGTGGTCATTTGAATAGGTCAGAGGTGAGATTGAAGAAGCCACTCTGTGCACAACTTTTCCATTGACAAGAAAATGACAAAGAAGAGGAAAAAATATGATTTCATAGAAGTGTTATGGAAATGGCATTACTAATAGCATGATATCCAGTACTAAGAGTACCTACTCCTTGGTTCTTATGTATATGTGGCTAGTGCTCTTTGGATTTATGTTAAACACTAAACTTGGGCCTTTCAGCAGGACTTTTGGAATTTGTTGTACAAAACATGCAACTGAAATACTGCCCTTAGAAGTACACTAAAATCCAAGGAAAAAAAATACTCCTCTAAGACGGTAAGTTTGTTACTTTCATGTTGAAATAAAATTCTACCATGTTTAGAAACTTCTAGGAATGGTTTTGCTGTCTTCACAGCCTTGCTATCGTCCTATGACAATAAATGGTCAAGCACAAGGCTTCCTTCTCAGCAGTTCTATAAGACTGATATTGTTTCCACTGCGCTTCTCAGGGCTGATTCCTGACAAGAGACACAGTGCATGCTCTCCATCTATGCCCTGCATCTGCTATTGCAGAGCGCCATCAGTTACTCAGCACTGACGGAGCACAAGTGTCACAGTGCAGGGGTGTAGATTGCTACTGAACTACCTACTAAGTCATGTACTGACTTAAAGTATGCTGAATCTTACTTAGGTATGCTCCGTTTCCCTTTTCCATATGAATCCATATGGAAAGGAAAGGCAACATCAGACAGTTCTTGACTTGGGATGCATTGTAAATGATTCGCAACATGCCCACCCTGCCTCAGCTAATTTCCAAAGCCTAGAAATAGTGACTTTCATTTCCCCCTAAATCTGCAAAGAACTTTTCCTGTTGCCTCTGTTTTCCTCTGTTAGAAATTTCTCAAGCTCATAGTTGAAATTCAAGCCTTAGGTTATATCTTTGAGGTTACTAACAAATGCAAGAGTGTCTCTGTAAATTTGGAGCAAGAAAGACAAGTCTAAAATAATTTCTGACACCTCCAAAGCAGATTAATTTCCTTATGACACAGAAGTTTGAACTGATGAGAATAGCGTGGTTTTTTTTTTTCTAGGTTTGTTTTTAGCTGAAAACAGCAGTTGCTCAAATTGTTGAGCCACCCAATAGTTGTAAACTGTGATGACACTTAACTCATGTGGGGGTAGAACAAGAAGAGAATGTTGTTTTGACAGTCATTTAGTGATTCATGCTTTAAAATTTGAAACAGCATTTTTACTTTACAGGAAAGCTAATGACCGAAGCCATCCATGCCAACTTCACGTACCTAATTAATCATCTACAAAGTGTATCATGTATACATTGCTTTGTAAGGGCATCGAACAGAATCTGGGGGCTTGTAAAGTTTGTCACTCACTTACTAGTAGGCTGCAGTTACCCTAAATGTGGAGAATAAAACCCCCTGGAACCCTGGAAGAGGGTTCTGCGCGCACACACACACACACACACACACACACACACACACACACACACACACACACACACACACACTGTAATGCAGGAAATTACAGATATCCTCAAAATGCAGCATGTTTGCAAGGGGTTTGTGCAGGACCAAAAAGGGATAGGGAAATGGCCAACCTCATAGACACATTTTATGTTTTCAGAACAAACTGTTTGCTCAGGGAAAAGCCCCATCTTTTCCCCTTATCCTACTTTCTACCCCCCTTATCCTACCTTCTCCCCCATCCATAAAAGTGTTGGCTTTGCAATAAAAGAGAACTCTGGCAGCTAAGAAGCATTGTGAATATTCAGGAAACTTTATAAAAACTTAAAATTAATAGAAGCAAGCCTAGAGGAAATCAAGGATTAAAAACTGAAAATCAAAGCTTATTTTGGAGTTTTACCTTTTCCAAATGAAAAGAATCTGACTGTCATATTTGTCAATATCCATGAGTGCCCACAGAACTGGATTAAGTAATAGATGAAGAGATAAGCACTCTTCCTATACCTGGAAATACAAAAAAATGTCATTAAGTACTTCTTTCATAATTATCCTTTCACTGTTGTCCATATGTCCTTCATTGTACTGGCCGACATGAGCAAGCAAAAGTAAATGATTCTGTACCGTCTTTTATTTGGTTTTCCCCAAAACAGATTTTGAAGCAACAGGTAGCACACACTACCTGCTAAAGTGAATATGCTGTTTGCATAAAATCAAATACAGTTCTTTCTTTAATGTCCATTTTCATCTTTAATAAAACTCTAAGCCAGGTGCCAGCACTTCACACTTTTAATCCTAGCTACTCAACAGGCTGAGATCTGAAAATCGTGGTTCAAAGTCAGGCAGGGCAGCAAAGTGTGGACAACTCTTATCTTCAATTAACCATCAAAAAAAAAAAAAGATGGAAGTAGAGCTGTGTACCAGGTGGTAGAGCACTAGCGCTGACAATAAAAGCTCAGAAACAGTGCCCAGGCCAATACCCACAGGGAAGGAGTGGAGGGCAAGGGGGGAGGGGGGCGTGGGGAGGGCGGGGAACCTTGCTCATCTAACTGAAAAGATAGTTTTGATTATTTTGTAGGTGAAACAGGGATTCAAAGGGATTGGTGTACTTAATATGTGTTCCAGTAACTCAGCCTGCTGCGTGTAAAGGCTGAGAGAGAAGTGGTTGATACTTATGAGTGAAGGCATGACAGCCATGATCCCAAATAGTGCATAACGCAGTGCGTGGCCACACTGGCATTCTGTGATGGGGTTACTCGCTCTCACATTTTGCAAGGGAAGCCCAGTGCCTGTCCTTAGATGCACATAGAAAGCAGTCGAGTCGCCCAGCTCCCCGCCCCCTCTAAAACGGGAAGTCAAGCTGAGTGTTAAAGATGGGCTGCGGAGTGAGTATGCTTGGGGAGATGACGCAGACAAGAGTGACAGCTGCGGTGTTTTGGAGAAATTCAGAAAAAGCGTTGTGTAAAGTGCTCCCCGGAGCTTCCACAGGATGGCAGGTTGGCCCTGTGGGTGTAAAGAATCTTCTCCTCCCAGTGGGTGATGTGACACGGGGTGGGGGAGCTCTGCTGTGGAGCAGACGCCACCGGGGTGGGTAGGCAGAAGGCTTCTTAGGGTCACCCAACAGATACCATGAACTGCTCGCGGGTCAGCGAGAGGAGATAGTCCCTCCACGTCGTGGGACTCTCCAGGCTCGGCGGCGCACGCAGGCGTGCGCAGGCGCTCGCGTGTGCACAGTGCTGGGGCGGCGGGGAGCGCTCGGGTCCCCGCGCGAGCCCCTCGCGCCCAGGCAGGAGGGACCGGCAGAGCGCGCGCACGCGGGGAAGAAGCGGCCGACCAGCCGCCGGCACTTCCCACTTCCTCATCCCCAAAATAGTTGGGGTGGGGGTGGGGGGACGGCCGGAGGGGCGAACAGGAACTTTCTTCCTCGGGTTACAGACAAAAGCAGAGAACTGCGCGAACTGCGCACCTGTTAGAAGCTCTAGGGCGTGCAGGGCTGGACGGCGCGCCCCCCCCCTCCACCCCCGGGGTGCCTGCTTGTTATTTGGGGATCCCCGACTTCCCCCTCCTCCCCGAAGGCTCAGCTCCCGCCCCCTTCCGCTCGGGCCTCAGAGGAACGAGCGCCCTACCTGGGCTGCAGCCAGGCGGGCAGCACCGAGGGTCCCATGGGCCGCGGGGACCTCCGGCGCCTCCGGGCCGCCGCGGGGCTGGGCAGGTGGGCGGGGCGGCTCTGGGGCCCAGGGCGGAAGGGCGGGGCCTTTCCCCGCTCAGCTAGTTCCAAAAAGAACCCAACAAAACCAAACAGCCACACAAAGTAAAAGCCCCAGATTCTGCCTTGGGCGAGAGAGGAGAGCCCAGTTCTTGCTGCACCGCCCTAGAAGAGCTGGCCCGCGCGCCAAGTGTGCGCTACCAGCCCCGACCCAACACGTCTGCAAGCTGGCTACCGGCTCCTAGTATTTGAGTTGAGACACACACACACACCCCCTCCCCAGCTCCGGGATCCCCACAGATATTAACACGCCCGGGTGACTTCTCCAGTGGAAGCCCAGTTTCCAGCGGGGTGGGGGTCCTCGGATCGGCCGGTGAGCACTTCTCTTATAACCAGAACCTGTAAGAGAGATTCATAAGAGAAGTTGGTGTCATCGAAAAAGGCGAGTGGGGGTGGGCTTGATGCCTCCAGGAATGCATCTCTAGTCGCCGCTCCTTACTCACCCCCCCACCCCCATCCTTTCCCAATAATCCTGAGGCTTCTCCCGACCCCCACCCATCACCAGGTAGGTACTCAAAGAATACACCTCCCACGGTGCGCTGAAATCAGAGCAGCTGTGCTTACTGCCTGTAATCTACCTACTCAGGAAGCTTGAGACCTGAGGATCCTGGTTCCAAGCCAGTTGGGTCAGAAAAAGCATGTGAGACTCGTATACCCCCCAGATAACCACCAAAAAGCCAGAAGTAGGCTTTGTAGCTAGCCTTGGGCAAGAAAGCTAAGGGAAGCACCCAGGCCCTGAATTCAAGCTCCCAGTAGTGGTACACACACACACACACACACACACACACACAAACCAGGAGCATCTTCCAGCTATTCCTATAAGGTAGACTGGTGGGAAAGAAAGAAAAGCCAAGAAGGTGCTTTCACACGGGTGGAAGAAGGAACACCCAGCTACTACAGTAGAAAGGTAATCCCCCCTATAGTAAGGAAAGGGAAGTTGTGGCTTTAAAATGTTGTCACTCTCTCGTAGCTGATTGAATGTGAAGGTCAGCATTTTTCTATTAGGCCACAGCTTCCTTCTTGATCATCCAGGGTGACTGTTCGCTTCTCCCCTCTGCATTTCTTCACACTTCTGTCTTCGTATTTTCTGTCCTCCGGCCATGACAGTCACCCGCCCCTTCTAAAACTCTCTCTAGAAGCTCTCTTTTGGTCTCTCCTCTCCCCTTTCACCACAGCTGAAGAACATCTTCAAATCCCTACTACAAATGGCTTTCTCACTTAAGCCATGTGCTCAGCACTGTTTATTTTTTTCCCCACCTACAGCCAGTCTCAGACCACAATCCTCGTCCCTAAGACTCCCACAGGAGTGTGCCACCACAACTGCCCTGTTGGTTGAGAGGAAGTCCTGCTACCTTTCCTCCTTAGTCTTCCTTCAAATGTGATCTTCTAATTTCTGCCTCCAGTGTAACTGGAATTACAAACATGTACCACCATGCTTAGATGGAAAGTGAAATTCTTTCTTTCCTGTAGCAGGAACCTAATCACCAATAATAGCAGGCTAGCCTCCTCTGATCCGATGCCCTACCTCCAGGCTACCCCCCTTCCACCCAGATTACAGCAGATATGTTAAAGGTTGCAGCAAGTATTGCTTAAAACACAATTCTCACCAAGCCTTTCTCTCAGATAAAGTTCTTTGCTGACCCTCTGCGACATCTCATTTTTGCTTTCTTTACTGTCATGTACTGACATCTCTTCCTGTCCTCTCCCTCCATTCAAATTAGAACTACCTGCTTTTCTGTAACTCTACCAGGCATTCTCTGGCCATGTGCCTCTGTGAAATCTTCTCCCAGCCCAGTAGTTACCTGCCCAAGCTCTAGTCATTCTTTAAAGGATTTGCTGAGTTTCCCTGTGGAAAACACACAGGGTTACTGTACATCTGGCCTCAGAACATCATTTTTTAAGGTACTGCCTCCTCAACTAGATTACATATTCCAAGAAAGCTCTAGCTCAGACTAACAGTGAGGATTTTACTTGTTTTACTCGTGTAAAACATAATTTCTTGGGCCAAAATTACAGTTGTTGGAAAGATTAAGAAGTTACGCAGGTGAAAATGGCCTGTGACACTAGCAGTGTTTGTCTATTTAAGTGCTGAGTGAATGCATGAGAGTAGGTCTGTCCTTCTCCACATTTTAACCCAAATAAAAAACATTCAGTGATGGTTACATTGCTGAAATATGTAGAGTGAATTTTGAATTATCCCTGCACATAGAATGAGTTAGAGGCCAATGTAGTTCAAATAACTCTGAATTAATATAGTCTTGCCTTTAGGAGGCATTTTTGCAATTATTTAAATATTTCAGGGTTTTTTCCCTTGGATAAATGCTTGATTTTTTGTTTTCATCCCAAACAACATCAATTAGAAATGTTGAAATATGCTTAACGGTAGTAACAGACTGGCTTAAGACTTTAAAAATTATATGACAAAAATAAAATTTAAAAAGTACATAAAATTTTAAAAATGAAAATTGTATGAAAAAGTGTTAGAGAATGCTACTATGTTTACAAATATCTTCAGAGGAATTAGACCTGATGATTAAAAATCTGGACTTCAGACAATAATTATCCAGTCATCTGTCTGTCCCTTCTTTGTCTGTTATTTTTCTATATGTTTTCCCCTCTCACTCTCTGGATGCTTCCATTTTTTTGCATGTGACTACTTCAGTGTGTTTGCACAGAGAACACAAACTCTAGGAAAGTACTCCATTACTCATTTTCTCTTTCATCAGCTATAAATTTCTAAGGAACAGTGATTTCTGATTCCTATTGGATGATTGTTAAATCCAGATTTCTTATTTACTTCTACCACCTGGAGTGATTCACTTCTTTCCTTACTCCAATACTATATAGCATAGATAGAAAATTTCCCAGGTTTCTAGATTGATACAATATCTTAGAAACTCTGTGGTCCAACAGCTTATTTTTTAGTAACAAGTGAGTTGAAAGGTTGAGATCTCATTCCATTGTACTGTGCAGAATTTCCTGTCAGCTTATTCTGGTAGCCATTTACTGTAATTTGGCCTGTATCTACTCTTTGTATCTATTATTGCTTCTTTCCAGCTGATACAAACATTATTTTTACATTTCTTCAGACTGTTGACTTGTCTTTACTATTCCATTCAGAAAACCAAATGCTATTAACATCCTTGTTGTATATCATTCCTTACTCTAAACCTTGTTCTATTCCAAGGAAGTGTTTTCAAATGACTGGGCAAGGGCCATCATATTCATTGTCCATGACTTGGTGATTTTCCTCATCCATTTCATTCTATTATATTATATATTATATATATTTCATTCTATTATATTAGAATTATCACAATTTTCCATTATTAATCTAGCTTAATCCTCAGAGTGACTGCATGTGATATGAACTATTCTTACTCTTAATTTTATGCATGAGGAAACAAATCAAAACAGTTTAATATTTTGACCAAGATCACACAACTAACAAAGTTGAAACTAAGATGAGAACCTTTGTCTGTCTTTAGATATTGGTTTCTTGACCAGTCAGCTTGCTACATATGATTGTTCAATTCTGTTTCTCAGTACTGATTTTATTTTTGCTATATACAATGCAGTCAAATTTAACAGTCAATTTTAACAGTATATGTTAAACTTAAAACTATGATTTCCAGAAAGTATGGGAGAAAAATCTTTGTGATCTTCAGTTAGGTAATTTGTAGATACCTTCTTAGATATCTAATCACGTTTCCTGTAGTTACTGCTGATCTTCAAAAGACACTTGGCAACAGATGAAAAGATAGCCTACAAGCTGTGAGGAAATACTAGTATTAATAAACTTTGTTGAATTAACAACTCCTTGTACAACTACTTAAAGATAATAAAAATATTTTTTAAAAACTCATAGTGAATAAAGAACTTGTAGGTAAATACATTTTTAAAACAAAGGTCAATAATAAGACCAACACTCAAAAGCTTAGCAAAACCTTTAAACATATGCTTCACCAAAAAAGATAGATGGAAAGAATATATATTTATTAATGATCTATCTTTGTCAACCATATGTTGTTATTTATTAGGGAAATACAAACAAAACACAATGAGATGCCATTACACACTTGTGGGGGTATTACATACTTATGAGGGTGGTTAAAATAAAAAAAAAAACAGAACTATCTTTTCACCTCAAATGTTGACAAAGAAGTGTTATAGCTTTCACACATTTTATTTATAATCGCCTAAATCTGGAAACCAAATTTCCATCAATAGTTGGCTAGGAAAACAAATAGTGATATGGCTATACATGGAATATTACTCAGCAATAGAAAGAAAATGAATTACTCATACAAGCAATAACAGGGGTGGAACTCAAAGTAATTTTGCTGAATGTTAGAATATAGATTAAAAAGGGTACATAGTTCATGAGTCCACTTATTTAAAATTCTAGGAAATGGAAACTAGTCTACAGTGACAGAAAGTGAATCAGTGGTCTGAGAAAGGCTAGAGGAAAGAAGGAACAGGAGGAGCAGAATGCAGAAAGGATCTTATCCAATCCCCTCAATTGACCAAACAGCCAGCTTTAGAACACCAAGAGATGAAAAGGAATTTGAGGAGTAACTCTTCGTTCTCATTCACAGAAATTCATCATTCATGGAAGAAACCTTTCTGGTCATATTTTTTGGGGTGACCAGCATTTCCAAACATACTAAATTTCCTAAGTATATAATATGAGCTACGGGGAGGGGTGAGGGGGGAAATAGGGAAGAGGAGAAGTGTAGGGAGGGCAGGGATGGTAGGGGAAACACAAAGGAGGAGGCAACAATGCTTGATAAGAAATGTACTCATTACCTTGCTCATGTAATTGTCACCCCTCTGTACGGTATTTTCACAATAAAAAACTTATTAAAAAATATGAGATACATTCTTCAGCTATTTAAAGATCCAGTGAAAAGATCCAGTGAAAAATAACTTTTGAACAAATTAATT